CTTCTTTAATGCCTGAGCATAGGCTTTTTTCGAAAATACATCTACGACTGTTAACAAATAATTAAAACCATCATTATATTCGGACAGCGACTGCATATGTAGCGGTCTGAGTACGAAAACTCTGTTTCTTACAAAATGCACCCGAGCCGGCTTATGTAAAGTATATGCATCCTGCTCAGATAAATATTCCCTGACTTTCTCTACATTTACTTGTTTACCCATTTCATTCTGTACAGCTCTATGGAGTTTATCCACACCTCCTAAACTCCCTGGATTAGAAGGAGTGTAATACACCTTTTGCATGACACGTTTCTCAGACATGTTCCCTGTTACAGCCCGATGAGGTAATGAGTACAACAGTTTTTCTTACAAAGCATTTTATTGTCACATGTATAAAAAACATGTTAAAAGAAGTAAAAATATAAAACATACTTTAACGAAAAAGTATCAAATTTGTTTTTCCTATTGCTGCCAAAAGACCCAAGCTGCTCTTATAGTCTTCAGACGGGTCTCGTCGTTATCTACCAGCTGGTCGAAAATCTTCTTCATTTTAGCCTCAAAGAGTCTGGTGTTTCTGAGATTGTGCAGAATCGCCTCGGTAGCTCCAAAGACTCTCCTCTCCGACACATGAAGCTGGCTCTGGTGTAAAGCGTCCCGAATGGCTGGAATGAAACGAACGGTCCACAGTCTCTTTATCACATCGTCATAATTTATATCCAGAAAGTAATCTTGGGTCGGAAACAAACACTCGTGCTGCCTCTGACTGGGGTGAGCGATTCGACATCCGTTACATGTTTCCTCTCTGTACAGTTGCACGACCCTATCCAGCAGATGAGCTACAACAGCTTTTACCGTATTCAGGAACGAAGCTGTCCTTTCACGTTCTGTAGCATCAACCTCTGGAACACAAGTATAGCATGGCACATCAACGCCTACTACTGTTGATTCCCCTGGAGACTCGGATGGAGGTTGATGCATATCCAGCCACCCCGTGATATCAATATCAGCCATATAGCTGTCGAGATCTGGTGTCCAGATTGTTGGAGAGGATGGAGGTCCTACAGGCGTTTTCTCCAGGCTGCAGCTCGCGGTGAGAGTTGTTTTCTTCCAGATCCATGGTTGCTGCTCACAAAATGTCCTTGAGGTGTTCTCATTTTTAAATGATCTGGCGAGGAAAAGGCGGGGCTTGTTATGTTAAGGGAAGGGGAGCCCTCTGTAAAAAAAAAAGTCTTTTGCAGTCAAACCGGGGAAAATCTGTCACTTCCTCACAGAGCCCCTCCTCCAACACACATGAACGCGCATGACTAAAAGGGGGCGCGAGATAAGTTTGTGCACAGAGACCCCCGCATTGCTGCTGATGCATTCGTTTGACTGACGCTCAGGACGGGTGCGGTAAGCTGACTGATTAACCCCATTCGAGGCGTCTCTTGGCCATTTTTCTTTTTGAAAAGGTAAATGGAATTGCTGTCTTTTTAATTATTTTGCGCATATTTCTAATTCCACCCCCCACTATCTGCCTGCGTCATAGCCCGGAAGGGGGGAGAGGCTAGGAGGGGGCTGGTAGACAGTCTCACCTCACTTCAAGAGACACCTAAATTAACATCAGAGGCTTACAACACCTCATAGATTAGACTTCATAATTAGATTATACAACTCTGAGGGGGCCAGACAGCATAAAGAGACTTAATCAACTCCTAAATTAACATCAGAGGCTTATAACACACCAGTGTGAAGTCACACCGGTGTGTTATAACACCTCCCGTCAAAGGACTAGACCAGGGGTACTCAAATACAAATCTTAAAGGTCCAAAATAAATGTTTCAATAAGACAAAGGTCCGTTTATCACGGTCATTCAAACTTTTAAACTATTACAACAAGATTCTTAACACGAGGTTGCAAAAACAAAAATAATCTGTATGCAGCAGTTTTCATTGTTATTGTGTCTGTGCTTGACCCCTCAGAGTCGAGGTGTAAGAGCTGCACAGTTAGGAATAAAGGCAGCTGCACCCTCTTTCATTCAGCATTCCCATTATTGCTTTATAAATGTATTCCCCCTTGTGTGTCCACTGAGGTTCGTCAGGCCCAACACATCTTCAACAAACTCCCCCTTTGCCTCATCATAACAACTCACAAACACCAGCAACTGAGCATTGTCAGTGGTGTCAGTGGACTCACCCACAGCTAAGGAAATGCACTGTGCATTTTTTATTCCATCACAAAGCTGATGAATCAAATCACCAGCCAGTATTTATGTTCTTCTGGTTGCTGTGCAATCTGAGAGGGAGATTTGCTTTGACCTGTTATTTCCTCTTTGTGTTTGCCTTCAACATGGTCTCCATCACTTCAGTCATGCATTCTTTTATACTGCAGTTATTATCTCTTATAAAGTCCTTACCTACTGGCCTAGTTAAATCAAAGTGGTTACTTTTTTTTGGCTGGGCAGTGTAGTTTTAAACACCGTCTGATTTGACTTTCTCACGACTTAAAACAGTTTTTTGGGGGCAGACCCCCTCAAAGAAAACAATATATTTACACACGTAAGGTCATCATCTTAATAGTTGTGTATGCTCATCCGTGAGCAGAGCATCAAGTTGACATGTCTATTACAGCTGAATGCGGCGATTACCATCTTGTTCAGCAAAACGCCTCACAAACGATTTAAGATCAACAGCTTTAGTGCGTTTTGATTCAATGCTGAGTACAGCCACACTGACAGTCTCTTCTCTGTCATTGTAGACCGCAAATACCTCATTCCTTCAGCGCTTGGGTCCGAATGCTTCTCGTTTTGCGCCGTCCAGTTCAAAATGAAATCGCCGCCAATCGTATGTCCACGCTCGCGCCAGGACCGGGGGAGGGGTTACATGACGTGTATCTTGTGCTGCATTCACTTGCACTCGGACATTAGAGACTTTCTCTCATAAATGTCCGATGAGCCACAACTTTTCTTTCAAAACAAAGCTGCCAACTGGGGTGGCAGCTGGGGTGTCAGTTGCCACCCCGGTAGGTGAAACTAGGCTACTAGCTACAGTACAGATGGAACTAGATGAGCTGTTAACTCTCGCTCTGAATTTATTTATTTTAAATTCTCGCTCTGACTTAGACAGGTTGAAAGAGACACACACATTTTTCCCACCCGCATTCCGCGAAGACCCGCCCTACTGTGCCTCTGATTCGCAGATTATTTGGGGGGAAAAAACGCTGACTGGATGCTGAATGTGATTGGACCAAAGCGTTGACACACACAGGTGGAACACAGTGGAACAGTCAGACATGCAGAGCGCTGTTTGCAGTGGACATAGCGGATAATTTTGACTCGTTGCGAATGCGTTGTGGCGATGTCTCACATATAATACAGAGAGATAATACATATGAAAAGTATAATTTGCTCAGAGTCCGGAGACAGTGGTGGTTCGGTCCGGATCCGGACCGGAGTCCGTAGTTTGAGGATGCCTGGACTAGACTTCATAATTAGATTATACAACTCTGAGGGGACAAGGGGGCCAGACAACACAAAGAGACTTAATCAACACATCAAAGAATTAGACAACAAAGGCGCTAGCCCGGGGCTTTTCACATGACACAAAAGGATCTCTAACAAAGGCACTACACACAGGGGGGCATTTCACACCTACGTGTGATGTACCTCACCCCTCACATCAAAGGATGTCACACCTACGTGTGAATTCACACCTAGGTGTGACATCCACCTCGAACAATGGGAGGCGGGACTTAGCTCATTAACATAAGTAGGGAGAGGTGTGACCTGTCACACCACCTGTCACTTTTCTTGCATACTAATGTGACGAAAGCGGCATGTGTACTACTACTCATGCATGCGTGAGTCATGGCAAGATATCTGGATTAAGAGGTTGCTTTTTCTTTGCACAGCATGAAAGAAAGGTGAAATTAGTGGGCTGTGATTTTAGTATTTTTAAGCAGAGGTCAATAATTTATACGGCCCTCGGAGGATGTTGAAAACATTTAAATGGCCCTTGAGAGGAAAAAGGTTCCCCACCCCTGGTCTAAGTGAACGGTGACTGTAAAAACTACACTGCGCATGCTCAGAGTATTGTCCTATTTAATGTGTGTGGCAAAAAATAATGACCATAGGGGCATAGAGCTGCCATCCCCACCATCATCTCACATCATTCAGAGCTGATTGGCTGTAAGTACGTGTGCCGCGAAAAGTGTGGTGTGTGAAGAGCAGGAGAGAGACGCCTCCTAAAACCAGGAAGTAAGCTGCGCATGGCTTCCCTCCACAAAAAAGCAATGAGATTTCTCCATAAGATTTTAGAAAATAGCTCAAAATAAGATCTGTGGGAAACGTAGCTGTTAGATAAATGTACGTTTTGTTCAGCCGGATAATATCCACATGTCTACCCTACTTTTATCATTTTCGAATCATAAATCCATAATTTAGATTTATGATAGACTTTTGAAACTACAAGAAGATAAGGAGGACTTTTACAAAAAAGTAATAGAGATTTTTGTCCAGAAGGATAGGCAAATGGACTTCATCTTCAAGTCAGGGTAAGACCGCAATTGTATTGAAAATGGGATCTTACTAAGAGAGAACAATTCAATATTTAAATGATAAAAAATGGGATTTTTTGGGTATCCTTTTGTTGAACTGTCTGTTTAAAATTAATCGAAGCATCAGACTGAAGAGGCTTTTGAAAATAATATTATATTTTGATTTAGGTCAAAATATAATATTTGTAAACCTGAAGAGTCAGAGCCAGTGCCTCACCAGCCATGAACCTCACTGCAGAAGCTATAGACATCTAAGTTTTTTGTGCCCCACCACTTTTGTACATATAAAAACGCCACTGTCCGTTACCACTTCTGTGCAAATGTGTTGAGGAGCGAATCTCCGGTCATTTCTCGGCCGGCTGGACCATTTGCTGGCAACCCGTGCGCTATTTTTCCCTCCCAAATATCCTTTCTCTCACTGTCAAATAAAGGCGTACAATTATCAAGCGGCACCGGCAACAGATCCCCGCGGCTGGCCCGGAGTGAGTGCCCAGAGGAGTGAGAGGGACGTATCCGGCTTGGCTCCTCCTATATTCTTTCCCCAGGTATAGCTCATCAAGCAGGTATCCTCCCCGACAGGTGCAGCTCATCATTGAACCTGTAAACACACACAAACACACTCTACGGAGCCAGCTGAAATGAATTATTGATGACTTTTTATTGCTGTTATGATATGAATATTAAAAACAAGAAACACTTCTGGTAAGTCTTGACAATTAGCCAAATGAACAGTGCTGTTTTAAACAACTAAATGATATATTTTAAACAGTAACATCAAGTGTACAGTATAATAACAGCTCTTCACAAAAGGTTTTCTTTCATCTCAACAGACGTGTCTCCAAGGAAGAAGCTCAAGAAGAAGAACCTCCAACACTTTGAAGGTTATTTAGCTTCAATTATAATTGGGATTAGACAGTAAAGACACTAGCTCTAGTATGTTTTTAAAATGTCAACTGTTGTCTTTTCTAAACAGATACCTTTTAGGGCATTTTTGTTTTACAACTATTTATCAATAAAGAAACACTTTTAAAAAAACAATTCATAATTTGTTAAACGGTGGTGGAAGAACGACCCACAACATTCAAATATATGTTATGATTGTCCTTTTGTGTAAAGTTTTTGCAGTTTTATATATACAGTTGACATGTTCAAATAATTGTGGAAATATAATTGATGCGAATAAAAGCAAACTGAATGTGATTTTATAAATTACAGATCAAATTGTGCAAAAGTAAAAAAAACGAGTGTACATTATTTTTGCTCTTTCAGAATGCAGCCATAAGATCGTGGGAGGAGAGCAGTACTACCCAGTGAAGACTGTAGTAAAAACCAAAAGGCTCGTCATAAATACAGGTCACTGTCAGCTCATATAATGTACATCTAAAGCATGCTACAGACGCACTTTGTGGAATTGAATGCAACATAACTTAAATCTTTTTGCTTGAAATGGTAAAAATATTTCCGATTATTTTTTTAGGGGAAGCAAATGCAATTGGTGGAGTGGGAACCTTGTTCCACGTGGTATGTAGCATTTTATTATTATGGTAATTTACCAATAACTAATTAGTCTAAGCATTTGATTACCATTTTTATCTGACAGAGGAGTAACATATATTGCCATATTTTGATATGGCTGATGTCAAAAATATCTTTACAATGTATTACAGGGTGTAGAAGGACAACAGAGGAACAGCAGGACTGATCATTGCACGTGTTGTCGAACCTGTTTTGATTGTTTCTTTTGGTTATATGCCTCCCTTTGCTACTGTTATTGTATATACCTGCTGAATGTTGCTTTGTAATAAAACATAACGTTATTCAACTTAAAAACCTCAAAGCCTTTTGTTTTTATTGTAGAATTGTTTTTTCCTTTGCATATTTGTATAATTTCTTCTTCAAATACAAATTTAAAACCACTTGGGCATCAACAATATAAATAAACAACTTCAAAAAAGTTGTTTATTTGTAAATAGTATTTTTTTTTATTAAAAAGGAACATCATCAAACAGTTGCAGAAAAAAAGAAGCAAAGACCATGTTTAGACTGCATGGGATGGGCTAATGGTTTCACTTGCCCTTAGAAATGAATGGGAGAAAATGTACTTATACCACATTTTCCGATGCATTGAGTGAAGAGCTAACGTTAGCATTGGTTAGCACGTGTGAAACACTGATAAGCAGCTGGGCCCAGCAGCTGTGCGCAGAGTGTTAACTTGTGTATTTAGCAGATGTGCACAGAGATTCAAGATATCAAAAAGGGATTTGAGAATAAATGTGATACTCTCCAAAAGACTGTACAAACAATGAATAAAGACGCGAAAGCAGCACTCAACAGGATATCTAACACTGAAAAACGGATAAGTACGCTAGAAGATCAAGCCAGCACCGACGGTGCGACATTTAAACAATTATCCAAAGATTTGAAACTTTTACGTGAACGGGTTATCGACCAGAGCAGAGGAAGAAGGAATACTATCAGAATCAGTGGGCTGAAGGAAGGCGCTGAAGCAGGGGACCTGGTCAGCTTCTTGAACACAATTATACGTTAAAAGAGAGCGACCCACTCCCAGAGATCGACCGGGCACACAGAGCCCTCGGACCTAAACCGAACCCAGATAAGCCTCCGCGAACCATCATCGTGCGGCTGCTCCGGTGGGGTGACAGACAGAGCATCTTACAAGCATCCAGAAACAAACAGTCACTACTCTTCGAGTGTCAACGTTTGTTCGTCCGACAGAATCTGGCAATGGAGATCCAAAAACAACGAGCGGCCTACAAGGACATCTTCGAGGAAGTCAAGAACACCGGTCTGCGAGATTTGTCATCACTATCGAGGGAGAGACTTTCAGATATGAATCTCCGGAGGCGACACTGAGGGACCTGAAAGTCAAACTTCCAGACGTTTTTTGAGCTGGTTGCTCTTCTTTCCTAAAGATGACTTTCAATATGTATGTGACTGCGCTTTAACAATCCAACTTGCTTGCCCTCCTTCATTTCAAACTCTTTAATTCAAGTATGTAGAGGCAACCATAGTTTTCTTTTCACTATTTAAGTTAATGCTGATTAACGTCAGAATAAGAAAAGAGAAAAAAAACACTTAAAAATGTTGCGGTCTTATTCTCAGGACATGCCGGTACTGTATAAGTTAATTTCATTTATGTTTCGGTCTGGTTGATGCAGCAAACCTGCGCCTACACCCGACTATCGCGGATAGGAGATGGGGCCTACCTTTTCTCACGATTGTATTTATGTATTGTCTATGCCACTTGGCGTAGTAATGTTTGTTGTGTTTATCGTTTACGTTGTGTCGTTGTATGTCCCCCCCCCCTCCGTTACAGTGCCAGGTATTCATATAGTTTAATAAGCAGTGCAGGATGGTGTGTTTAGTTTTGTTCTGGGAGACAAGCACACCCACATGCATAGACGCGTGCAAACGGGCACACATACACACTGGTCTCCCCCCTCCTTCTCCTCCTTCATAGACTCACTCTGTGCTATTAATGCTATAAAGGTAACATCATGGAATGTAAATGGAATTCAGAACATCTAAAGGTGCCTTGATAGTGATATAGCCATGTTACAGGAGACCCACTTCAACTTAGAAGAATCAAACAAATTAAAGCAAAGATGGGTTGGCCAAGTTTTTTTTTTTTGGGGAAAAAAGTCAAACTTTATTTTGAAGGCCCGATTTTCTAACGCTGTGCATGCAGTAGGCGTGCATTGAACTGGAAGTACGGGAGACATACTTGCCAACCTTGAGACCTCAGAAATCGGGAGGATTTGAAAACCACCGCGGGGGGGACGTGTGCTAGTGGATCGCCGGAGCTGTATTAGATTAACATTACCATGCTTATTGTAGTTCTAAGTGCACTGCCTTGCTGCCTGTATCACCATCCTTGATGGAGCATAGTGTGGGCTGGACAGGAAAGGAGTAAGCAGAGGGTCGAGTTGTCGATTCTTGTTCTGTTTTCTGTGACTATCTTCCTCACCCTCTCAGACTTTCAGTTGCGCGTGCGACCATGGAAACCAAACAATGGTGTAGCTGTATTAAAGTCTGAGTGGAAACAGTCCTGAGTAAATGTAAATCTGATTTTGTCAGAAATCGGGAGAAATGTGGGAAAAATATGACCCCGGGAGGAAACCGGGAGAGGGCAATGAAAATCGGGAGGGTTGGCAAGTATGACGGGAGACCATAAACGGTTTTGAAAACTTCTGTCACGTAGTGATCATCTTCTCAATAAAACTTCTGTTTTTTCGATTCTTCAGGCCAATCAGAATCAAGATTGTTGCCGGAAGTCCCCACGGAGAATAACTTTGATGTAGAACTATTCTTTATACATCCATGGGTACAACTTCAGATAGAAATTAACACATAATGAAATATGCCCCCCGGTTTGATGATTGACAGGTCACAGAACAATGGGGGCTATCTACCCTTACCCACAATTTAAAGTAATTCACACAGACTCTCTCCTCTTTGCTCTTCTCTCTGTGAGGAGCAGCAAGTTCAGCTTCAGAACAAAGTGAAAAACAAACAATGGCATAAAATATTATTAATATGTCGTAATACATCTATATATTTTCTTCTCAGAGTGTACCAGAATGGGTAGTTTATATGTTAGTATTTCTAAAAATCTCCTGGGGGAGAATCCCCCCAGACCCCCTGCTGGGGTTGGGTTTTCAGCATGTGCCTTTTTATTTTATGCAGTTCAGCTTTGATTCCATCATCTCATTAAACCTTATTTAAAAGCATTATTTAGTTCTGTGAAGGGGTATAAGGGATATATGCACTGTACTTCACTTTAATTAATATTGTATGCTGAAAAGCGTATATATTACAGCACCATTTTTTGTTGAATAGATTTGAGTGCTTCAAAATTTCGGGTCGCGATGTATTGACAAAGGAAAAAGTGGGTCCCGAGGCCTGACCAGTTGAGAACCACTGCTCTAGAGGCACGAGAGGTGTCAGTATACTGATATCTAAGAAAATATATTTTGAACTGACTGATTTGGTTAGTGATAAGAAAGGTCGATATCTGGTTTTGCGAGGTAAATTGTAGAATGAAAAATGCACATTAGTGAATATTTATGCCCCAAACTCTGCACAAGCTTCCTTTATGTGCCCTCTGATCACCATTTTGGCCCAGTGCACTGACAGCCCTATCTTGATGGGAGGAGATTTTAATCTAGTGAAAGATGCTTCACTAGACCGCTCAGGCCATCCTCCTCCAATGGACAGATCACTATCAATGAGCTGTTAGAATCACTGGCAATGGCTGATGTGTGGCGGACGCTGTACCCTCTCTCTGGTGAATATACATTTTAGTCTAAGGTGCATAAATCCTACTCAAGAATTGACTACCTCTTAATATCCCACTCTGTTATTAAAAATGTAATGGATGCAGACATACATAGTATTGTCCTATCAGACCACGCCCCTCAGTCTATCACTTTGTTCCTAGTTGCTAGTGAGAACAGACCTAAACAATGGAGACTTAACAACTCCTTGTTAAAAGATGACACATTCATCTCACTTATCGAAAATAAAAGAATATTAATCAATAAATGTAGACTGTGTGTCTTCCATTCAAACTGTATGGCAAGCCTTTAAGGCCACCTGCAGAGGGTGGATAATCAGCGAAGCACAGCAAAGCTATTAAAAATAAAAATAATTTACAATCTGAACTTAAAACTATTGAGAAACAGCATATGCATGATCCTAAAAACCCACTACTTCAGAAAACATTACTCACAGTTAGAGCTGACCTGCAGCCAATAGTACATGAAGAGACAGCTTTCTCCCTACAGACTCCGTAAAACACTTTGAATGTGGTGATAAAGCAGGAAAGATGCTCCAGATATACAGAAGAAACGGTAGCATTGGACTGTACATTGACTGTCTCATCATGTCAACCAGCTCAGATGGTAGCCAAAGACACAATATGAAACGGATGATATCCAAAGCTGCGAGGAAGGGCTTTGATAGAAAGAGATAGCTCAGTAAGAGCGCGAAGTTGGTCGGGTGAAGCAGACAAGGCTAACCAAAGCAAAAAATCAAAAGTCAATCAAAATGACAGCCAAGCAATTTTGAATAAAGAACTAGAACACGAGTGGAAAGTTGTAATATAATTCAATCAGGATGGTGGGCATTACCACCCGATTAAACTTACCAAAGCAATTGAAAAAGAGTTTGGAAAAATTAAACTAGCTAAATTCATGAACAACAAGCGGGTTTTGGTACATGCCAATAACAAACAGCAGCAGGAAAAGATTCTGGGAATGAACTCACTGAATGGGGAGAAAAGGAAGGCAATGGCAAAACTGAGAGGAGTCATCTCAGGAGTCATTGGACATGTCAGTGGAAGATGTTCAAAGTGAATAAAAGGAGGCAAAGTAGTGGAAGTCACAAGG